TCCCAGCATTAGGCTCTTCTCCAGTGAGTCCTTCCTTCTCATTAGGTGGCCAAAGTACTTGAGTTTCAACTTCAGGATCTGGCCTTCTAAAGAGCAGTCAGGGTTGATCTCCTCTAGGACTGACCGGTTTGGTGAGGAAGCTGATATATTCACTAATAACAGGGAAGCTTGCTATTGGTTGTTTTCCTGGATCTGTTATCAGTTTGACAACCTTTATTACAAATGGGAGGTTTGCAGGAATGCTACTGGGGGGTGGGATTTCTGAGCAAACTGATGCCTAAAAGCTTGTTAGAAAGACATGTCATCTGAAGACAGTTACTATACTACTGGTACAGTATACTGTAGGTTTTCCCTGCCCAGGTGCCTTTGAAAATGCCTGCCCCAGTGGCTGGTGAAATATCAAGAAAGCTGTAATCTAGACCATAATCATTAAACCCTGAATCCCAGCACTGCCCAAAAAAATTCTATGCAGTATGGCTAAGAAATTTGGGCACAAGGGAAACCTGAGCATTGTTTTTTCAGATATGGAGTATGATAAACTGAACAATGAATTAAAATTAAATGTTACCTAACATTAGATATAGATGATAGATTGCTGATAGAAGAGATAGCTAGAAAGCTAGAAAGCTAGAGACATACAGACAGACAGACAGACAGAGTTTCTGTGCAACTGTAGGAATGTTTTTTTACATAAGTGTATTTTCCGGTTTTCAATTAAAATTGTTCTGTTTCTAAAACAGAACAATTTTAATTGAAAACCGGAAAATACACTTCTGCCACAGAGTATGGTCTACTAACATTGCTATGACCTGTGGTTACCATAAATTTACTATATTTACTGTATGGTCTACTAAGATAAATACTGCCCTCTAGTGGCCAGCTGAGTTATTACTAGGATTTAAACCCTTTTAAATTATGGGTTCAATTATTTTGTGAAAAAGTGGGGTGCAAAAAGGCAGTACTTTCACTAAGATTTTAAAAGAGTCACATCTCTGCTGCTCTTTTAAAAAAAATTGTATTCAATTGGATGACAATTCTTAATTGGAATTTCAAAGATTATATATTCCAAAAGCAAAATACCTGTCTAATAAACTTGGATCAATAAGAAGAAACAGTGTCAAAGACCTCAAAGTTCTATCTGATCTATATAAGCCAAAGTATAAAAAAGCAGATCTGTGCTCTCTGCCTGTATTTCTCTTTGGGATAAGAATATCAAAGCCACAGTACTAACAGCAGCTTCTAGAAGTGATTGTTGCAGATTAAGTAGTAAGCAATCCACAGAACCACTGGGTTTTTAATTTAATCTCTACCAGCTTGGTCAGTCTACTGAGCAAGGGGTTTTAAACTGAATTGCTGCATTTTTTTTTCATGCCACAAATATTTTTTAGGAGGTTAGATGGGCAAGTAATTTATTGCTACAGAGATTACAATCTCTGGTATTCAGTTGCCTACATCCATTCCTAAGTAAAAAAAATACTGAAGTAGAAACAAGGATTCTGGTCTTAAAAATAGATCAGAGTTGAGGAAGTCAAGCTTTTCCTGGATATCTTGCATTCTTCTTTATTTATCTTCAAAGAACAAAATAAGAACTCATTTTAATCTTCAGCTCTTATATAAAAAACTATCAGCTTGTTTCCACAACACTTTGAGGTTGATTGTCTTAAAAAAAAACATGAAAACATGTTTTATACAAGCTTGAACACAATGTTGTTTGATAGACACATTTTTTTTTAAAAAAAGATGATTTAAACTAAAAGTTTAAATATACACATATATAAACATATAAATACACACACGCACACAATGCTTTCCTAAGTAACCACACACACAAAAGCCTGGGAGAAAATGCAGAAACACTTCATGCACAAAAGTTAGATAGAAAAAAAAACCTAATCAATATCCCCCAAAGAATATGAAACAATCAAAACAAATTACTCAGTGGTGCATATCAGTTGTAAACTAGTGCACCAGATGGCTGAACAAGCTACTTGCAGCACAACTGTAAGTGTGCTGGATTAATTAAATCTATTCTGCAAACTGTACACATTGCAAAGAAGATTGCTTGTTCTTGGACTAGGTTTATCAAATAAATTTGCAGCTAGTTGGAGAGCCATTTCAGCACATAAAATGGTCACATTTGCCTCTCCATTCTCATTACACCTATTGTCGCTTGCATTGCAAATATAACTGTTTTCATTGTGATGAGCACTCTGACTTGTTCAACGATCCGTTGCAGGATTATGATGCAATTATTGCTTATTACAGCACCTTGATGTTTGTGGCATCTTAGGTGTTGCAGGTGTTAAACAAAGCAAAACAGAATCCTGTTTCAAGCTTTGTTCTCACTGTGGTGGAGAAAATCAAAGGAGGAGGAGGAGGAGGGTGGGGTTGAGGAAAAAAGGCTAAAATGCACTAATGAACAAATGAACAATTCTGTGTTCAGGGTATTCAGAGCAGACACACATTTAACCATGTTTCAAATGTCCTCTTTAGATGTCACATATACTGTCAGAAATTATACAGACTCCCATCCTTAGAAAGTATTTTTACCTAATTCAGACTAAATTTCTACATTATTTGTGGTTACTGTATTAAATGGAATTTACATATAAATTGCAAGAACACCTGATTCAACCAGGTCTAATATTCCAGAATTTTATTTAACCATGGTTCATCAGATAAGCTTAGGGCTAACAGATTTGGCTCTAACAAATATACAGATGCCTTTTAGATGGCAGCACATAGGTAAAGAAACACTAACTTTGGCCCCCTCAGAGAGGGCACGCAACTTGGGTGTCCTCCTGGATCCACGGCTGACACTGGAAGACCATTTGTCGGCCGTGACCAGGGGGGCGTTTTATCAGGTTCGCCTGATTTACCAGTTGCGCCCTTTTCTGGACCGGGACGCTNACTACCCCCCGAGATCCGGACGATTCCGGATCTCCTAACCTTCCGCCGCGCCCTCAAGACATGGCTTTTTCAGCAAGCGGGACTGACCTAGGGTGAATTTTAAATAGGGACAATTTTAATGATTTTAATAAGACACAGCTATAAATATTTGGTTTTTAATTGGCTTTTATAGGGGAAATGTTTTATATTGTTTTAACATACTGTGAGCCGCCCTGAGTCCCATGGGGAGAAGGGCGGCATATAAGTTAAATAAATAAATAAATAAATAAATAAATAACTCTTTGCTGCCATCTATTAGTTATCCAATTTTTTTAAAAACCCAGATTAGGAAGGTCTAATATAAATTGTTACGGCTGGGTTCACTCAGTACATTAAGTTATAAATTACAATAGCTGGATATATATTTTTTTCCATGGGAAATCATACAAGAAAAATAAAGTGCCTACTATACATAGCCAAAGAATGAAGTGGCTAAAGTTCATTTAACTATGAGATTCTTTAACTGAAGTCATACATCAATAGTACATTAAATTTTGTGGAAATCCAGCCATTCTAGTTGTAAAACATGGATTAGCATAGCCACTGAAGTTCTGATAACAAATGTTATGTCCCTCAGCATAATCTATTCCAAAAAAATATCAGATCATTTCTTAGCAGAAGGGGTGAAGATGTTATTCTTCTTCTTGTGTCATATCCATTATCGGACGTTGGTGATCATGTTGGCGATCCTGTTTTTATCAGCAGCCGCATGAAAAAGTGCTGCTGAGTTTTGTCCAAACCAGTCCCTTAGATTTTGAAGATGTTATAAATAAAAGAAATAGAAACAAATATATATATTAAAAAATAGGAAAACCTGTATTTCTTCTCTGTTATGCTAGTGCATTCTGCATACTGAAAATAACCAGATTCTAGATCCTCACCTCTGAAGAGAACAAACTGTTAATTTTAAGAAGTGTTCCCTGGTGCAATCTAAAATTTACACACTAAAATTCAGGCAGTCCCAGTCCTGCTTTTTCCACTGTTTTTTTTTTTATTTGCCTGCCTGCCTGGCAGAGGAGCTTCAGAAACATACCGTGTGCATTTATTTTCTTTATTTTCCCCTCCATAAATTTATGGAACACCCTATGCTATTTTTCCCCCCTTAAAGATCAAGGCAGTAATGAACAATTATGATGAGCGCAGAATGGTAAGGCGACCAACTTTTTTACAACGAAAAGGAGGACACAACTGAAGAAAAAAAATATCGTAAATAAAACATTTTATTCATTGCAACAGTACAGAATACACTACAATGTGATAAATGCATAATAAAAAAAACATTTGTAACAATAACATTTTATATTGCAATTACGCTTACACGCCTATTCATTATTATTTAAATGAGTACAAAAGAAGGGCTGTCCTCCCTAAAGGCGGACAATTGGTCACCTTAAGAATGGAAAAAACATATCAATCTGCCATGCTCTTAGCAGGTTGCAGATTTCTGTGGCTCTCTAGATACGTCAATCTAAAAATCACCCCTTCGCCAATCAGTGTTTCTCAACCTTGACAATTTTAAGGCATGTGGACTTCAGCTCCCAGAATTCCACAGCCAGGATTGCTGGCTGTGGAATTCTGGGAGTTGAAGTCCACAATGCCTTAAAATTGTCAAGGTTGAGAAACACTGGCCCAAATTTAATAAATAATAAATAATAATAAATAATAATAGTCCTGCACAGATCCAACATCACTGAGAGCACCAGGTTGGGACAAGATTTGTGCCAACGCATTCTCAATCTCTTTTAGGACTTTGAATGAATGCAATTAAAAACAAATCGATTTCCCTTTTCATATTTGACTCTGCTACAGCCTTGCAAAAATCCAGCCTTGCTTCATTCACAACCAGCTTTACCGGCTTATTCAGGTTGCACTTCCAAGCCCTGGCTTTGAAGTTGACGCCGCCGCACAAGCCTCTTCCCGATTCGCCGCCGGTTCCCCCTTTTGATCCCGCCTCTCAGCCAACCATCCAATAGCGTGGCGGAGGAGCGGCAAGGGCGGGGGGAGGAGCTGTCAATCCACGTCAACAGAGCGAATAGGCGCGCAAGGTCGGAAAGGCAGATGGTAAAGATGGCGGCTGCGGATGGCGAGCCGGGCAGGTAATTATGAACCAAGACTCGCCGCCCGTTTGCGGGGGTTCCTACTTTGTGGACTACGGGTTATGGAGTCCCGGCTCCCTTGGAGGGGGGCCTCGCGGGGCGAGTCTGCTGTAGAAACTAGCAATTGTGTTTATATGTTGTGTTTTATTTGTTTACACCAGGGATAGGGATAGGCAACCTTGGCGCTTTTAGGACTCGTGGACTTCAACTCCCAGAATTCCTGAGCCAGCTATGCTGGCAGGCCATGCTGACTCAGGAATTCTGGGAGTTGAAGTCCACGAGTCATAAAAGCCAAGGTTGCCTATTCCTGGTTTACAGAGACAGACATCACACAGACACACACACAAACACAGAGAGAGTTGTGGGAATTTTCTTTAAGCTGGCACTTTAAGGCTATATTTTTTATTTTATTTTTTCTTCCTTTGGAAATGGAGCTGATAAAATATCAAAATATTTAACATAAGTGTTATATTAAATATAAAACATTTTCAATATTGTCCTTGCTAGCACCAGGATTCTAAGAGCACAGTTTTCCTGATTCTTTAAAAAAAGAAATTGGTTGTTTGAAAGGAGGAGAGAGAAAAAACCTGCAGGCAAGGAAAAGAGATGAGCAGGATACATATTTGTATTCCGGTTTCGCCACTTGAAACAATTGGGTAAGGTCAGAGCAAGTTTGTTTGTTTTTTAAATGGAAGAAGGAAAGACATTAGTAATTGAACATTTACACATAGAGTACTAATGCTGCTTTTTAGGTCTATGAAATTGCAAACACATATACATATGCACATACAGTACAGACGTAATATATAAATATTTTCAAAAGTGGTATTAAAATCTAAGACACCATTAACAGAATAGCCTAAGATCCAATAAGTTTTAATAGTTTATTGCTAAGTAAATGAGATTTTCTTTTCCTGCAGCCTAAACTGCTGAAATGGAGGATTTTTCAGCCTGGGATAATCCCCCAAACCAATTTTGGGATAGACAATAATCCCCTTTTAGTCAAGACTTCAGCTTTTGATGAAAGTTAGCACTTATTTTGTAAAACGCTGATTCTGCACTGTTAGCATTAGACAGCACAGCACAAGGTCATTAGTCTATGCTAAAACTAAGTCTCTTACTGAAGAATGTAATAATCCTAACTCAAAATTAAGTGGTACTTTATTCAAGGCAGGCCATTGCTAAGATTAAACACTATACACAATTCTAAGTGTAAAATGCAAGTAGAGAATAATAAGGACTATTATTAAGTGACTGAATGAGACTCCATGTATGTATTTGTAGTTCTCCATGAGGATTGGGGGCTGTTTAAATTCAAACGGTTTTGTAAATTTATATATTGGCCTTCAAGAACTGTACCCAATTCCATAAAATTGCTTTGGAGTGTATAAGGATGCAAACGTGGCCCTGTATGCAATTCTTGAAAATAATCCTTTTTTCAGCGTCTTTAACTGACTTATTATAATTCAAGTAAGAATCTTTTTTTCCCTCCTCTGATACCCTGTGGAATCAAGTGTGGCAATTATTTTACATTTATTAATCTAAATGATACGTCATCCAGTAAGACCGCAGAAATATTTCATTATTAAACTAAGCTGTAAAACTATCACAGCCATGCTTTTTTCTCATAAAGCAAAGGTCATACTGTTCAATATCATGTGTCTGATTCATATTGCTTTTTTATAATAAATCTTACGGCATTGCAACAGTTTTATTCCATTACCACCAATACTGTCCTGTTTCATTGCAAATTATAGCTTTGGATTATTTTTCTTAATAAATAAATGAAATTATGTTTTCTACTCATTTATTTAATTAGGTTCTCTGTTCTAATTTTACGATTTGTGTGGAGAACAAATCATGCTTTTTAGGTCATGTCTATTCAGAAATATTGAAAATTCAAAAGGGTTCTCCAACTTTTAAGGACCCCTATATGTCTCTGTGTTTGCAGTAAAGGCAATCTATTTGACAATATCATTTTTCATGTTTGTTTTTGCAAAGTTATCATTATCGCAGAGTGACGTTTCTGATTGATTTGTTTTTAATAAAGGTTTTGCTCTTTTTATTTATTCTAGAATGAGCATAAAAGAAAAGGCAAAGCTGCAGTTAAGGAAGCTTGACATTGGAGACAGATTTTCCAGCATTCAATTACCAAAAGCTTCAGTTCTTATCCCATTGATGGTCAAAGATGGAAAGCTGTGTCTTCTTTTCACTGTTAGATCAATGAAGGTATGTAAATATGAAAGCCAAAACTAATTTCACTGTTAATTTGGTGAATATTTTTAGAAGCATATGAAATAAAAAAAACTAAAATAAAAAGAGAGGACAGATGTATAGAAATATATTCAGTCTGGATAAGTAGAGCTAACACTGATAGTGTCTCCTTTTGAGGGAGGGACGCAGTCTCTGTTTAAACTTCCTTATACAGGTAATCCTTGATTTACAACCAAAGTTGGCCCCCAAATTTCCTTTGTTAAGCCAGACAGTTGTTAAGTGAATTCTGCCCCATTTTATGCCACAGTTAAGTGAAATACTGCAGTTATTAAGTTACTAACACGGTTTTTAAATGAATCCAGCTTCCCCATTGACTTTGCTTGCCAGAAGGTCGCAAAAGGTGATCACATGACCCCAGGGCACTGCAATTATCATCAGTATGAGTTGGTGGCTAAGTGTCTGAATTTTGATCACGTGACCCTGGGGTTGCTGCAGTGGTGGTAAGTGTGAAAAATGATCATAACTTACTTTTCTGGGTTCTGCTATAACTTCAAACAGTCACTAAATGAACTGGTGTATGTCAAGGACTACCTGTACTTAAACCTACATTTTATTCTCCCAACAGTGTTCACTTTTCCTTTTACATCACAATAATCCCTTCTGTTTTTCCCCTACTAATAATCAGTCCATCCAATACAGCACTGCCTTTCTTTTCTTACAGCCATTAATTGAAAATTTGATGCAATAAATTTGAAAGTTGGAATATCTGAGGACAGGGGAATGTTTACATCTTGATTTCCCTTGGGTGTTTTTCATCTGTCACCAGCAGCCAAAATAGCAAGAAACTTTAGCAGTAGCAGTAGTCCAAGTAAATATGTTAAATGTATTTGCTAAAGCAAGTTGCTTCTTTAAATCTCCATGAGCTGGAGGAATAGCTTATTTTTTCTGAAGCTTAAAGGGAAAAAAAAACTTTTCTCTATCTTCCCTTTTCTATAATAATTGTGGTCTGCCTTGTTAGATTTTAAATGCTTTGTAATTAACCTGAATCAGAGGTAATTTGGTGTAAGTAGTTAAGGATGTAGTAAACGAGTCAAGACAGAACAAATGCAATCAGACAGGTACACATTCACATACATATCTCTACGCCTATCTGCCATAATTTATGAATAATGCAATTAAATAAATACTAATACTTTAATTCAGATTATTCTTTCTAATGGACCCACATCTTTGATTTTCAGAAACATTTCTGCTGAATTATCTGAGTGTAGAAAATACGATTTTTCTCATGGTTTTTGTATAATGCGTTTTATTGAAAATAATCTTAGGAGAGATTTCATCTTTCACGATGCAAGTGCTTTAACAGTTACTTGCTGATTTATTCTTTTCATCCATTTGGCCCCTACTTTTTTGTTTAGTTGAGCATCTTAGTTTTGTTTGGGACATGTGTATATTGTGCATGTTTATTATTATAACGTGGTTTTGCAATGTGAAACCACTTATGCCCCGCACCCAGTTGTTAGCTCATAATAACTCCCTTAGGATGGAATTCAGAAGTTATGAAAGTCCGTCTGGTTCATGCCTGTGCTTGCTAAGTTCCTATGTTGATGGTATTGATTTTGAATAAAAATGGAAATAAAGAAGAAGATCAAGAGATTGCACAGAACAACTGACCTAATATTTGGATCTTTGTCCTCCCTGTGTGAGACTCGAGTTTATATTTAAAGTGGAAATGAGTGCTATGAAACCCCACAGGATTTATGCATAGCAGTTGCTAAATTTAGTTTGCTGAGCCCATTGATTTCAGTGACTCTTAACTTTGAGTAGTTCTTGATCTAAGCTAGGATTTTATAAGTGCAGCTAGTCTTAAACTGGCATTATGGACTTCTTAAGAGAACTCCCATCTTGGCATGATAATATAATTGGAGCCCAGAGATCTTGTTATCTTGTGACTCCAACTGGATTTTTGTGTGTGATCAATTTGTTTGTTTTCCTGGCTGTCCAAGTCTCTTCTCCAGTACCAGTGTTGAAACATGTTGGTGTTCTTTCCTGTTATGCTTCTTCCAAATCCAACTTTCACAACCTAGAACTGAGGAGAAACTTCCTGACAGTTAGAACAATTAACCAGTGGAACAACCTGCCTCCAGAAGCGGTGAATGTTCCAACACTGGAAGTTTTTAAGAAGAAACTGGACAGCTACTTGTCCAAAATGGTATAGGATTGCCTGCCTGAGCAGGGGGTTGGACTTGATGACCTCCAAGGTCCCTTCCAACTTTACTATTACTATTACTACTACTATTACTACTACTACTACTACTACTACTACTACTACTATTATTATTATTATTATTATTATTATTATTATTATTATTATTATTATTATTATTATCCATAGACTGTCACAGGAAAAAGCATTGCCTGAAGAATACTAATCTTTTTTTTTTGTTTTAGACATATCATAACATTTGCAATATCCTTTTCAAAGCCTTCGTTGCAGCTCTGTTAGGTCCTAGTCTGCAATTAAATTAAATGTTTTATTTAATTTAAGCATTCAATAAAATTAAATTAAAATATTTCTTGACTTTGCTCTTTATGATCAATCCCGAAAGCCATTATTATTAACCAACTTATAAGCACAGCATAAACTGAGAAATGTCAAACTGGGAGAACATGACTGTGGATTTAAAATTGGATGAAGAAACTTCAATGATAATGATAATTACACAGCAAACAATAACATCGGCCTATCCCAGGTTCTTGAAAAGTATTTGATAGGTAAATAAAAATGCCGTATCCAGTCCAAACATCTGACTGACTTCCCCAACCGACCATTTTAATGTTCTAATTCCAGTTGAGAACATCTCCAGGAGAAGTTTGCTTTCCAGGAGGTAGAAGGGATCCAGCAGACACAGATGAAGTTGCCACAGCTCTTCGAGAAGCTGAAGAAGAAGTGGGTCTCCTTCCTGAACAGGTGGAAGTCATCTGTAGACTTGTTCCTGGAATAGATAAAGTAGGTACATGCTGTTGGTTGCGAAGTCGTGTCCGACCCATCCCGACCCCATGGATAATGTTCCTCCAGATTTTCCTGTCCTCTACCATCTTCTGAAGTCCATTTAAGCTCGCTCCTACTGCTTCAGTGACTCCATCCAGCTATCTCATTCTCTGTCATCCCCTTCTTCTAATGCCCTCCATCTTTCCCAGCATCAGGCTCTTCTCCAGTGAGTCCTTCTTTCTCATTTGTGGCCAAAGTATTTGAGTTTCAACTTCAGGATCTGGCCTTCTAAAGAGCAGTCAGGATTGATCTCCTCTAGGATTGACCAGTTTGATCACCTTGCAGCCCAGGGTCTGAAATAGTTCAAAGAAGCTGTAGATTATTTTGAATGTGCCTTAAAAAGGGATACAACAAATTCACTATCTGTAGCCACTAATTAAAATGACAATAGACTTAATCCATTGTATCCACAGTCTATGGAGTTTCTCAGTCACCCAAGTCATAGTTATCCCAAAGATGGTTTTTTTATGAGGCAACTGGACTTTCTTGTTTTTCCGTTGAAGATGTTTTCAGAGCTGAAGAAGCTTCTTGGATGAGAAGCGAAACGTCTTCAAAGAAAAACAAGAAAGTCCAGTTACCTTGTAAAAAAGATCTTTGGCATTGTATTGACAGCATTGACATGAGTCTATGTGTCCTTTAGTGACTTAGGACTCAAATATTTAAACTCTGCCCTCCACCAATTCCAAAAAAAGTCTGCATTACAAATTGCCGGGAAGGCTTGCTCATGTCCTGTAGGTTGCATGGTCACAATCAGGACCTCCTCAGTGGTAGCATCTGAAGTATTCAACTGCTGCTTGAGGGAACCACAGGTGTCTTCCCCCAGGTTGCCTTCTTTAAGGTGAGAGTTGGAAAATCCTATAGTCATCCAGAAACAATCTTTTAGATACATAAGGTACTTTACAAAGAATGAACTCTGTTTTAAGTTTTATAATTATAAGGAATGCAGATCGTCTCTCCCCATTACAGTTGTAAGTTGTGAAAGTTGTAAAGGGCTCATCATGTGACCAACCTGATTTAACCTGGGTTTTTTGTGTGTGTGTGTGGCAGTTGTTAAGTGAGTCATCAGGATTGCTAAATTGAATCGGCAGTCGTTAAGCAATCATTAGGGGGTATTTTGCTGAAAATTGGAAGCAGATGCCCGTTAAAACATCAGAAATTGGAGTCACATGGCCACAGGACATTGCAAACAGCCATAAATGCGGGCCGGTTGCGAAGTAGCCAAAATGCAGTCACATCACTGGGGGGAGGTGGGGGGCAGCCATTGGAATTTTGGAATCAGATTATAAGTACTTTTGGGGGGGGTCCATCATAATGAGCAGTCCGGAACAACATAACAAATTGGGATGTGCAAAATTAATTGACCTGGGAATTCTGGAATGCTCCATTGACCGCCATCCAATGCCATTCCCAGTATTGGGTTACAGTAGTTTTCAGAAATAAATCTTCCACAATGGAAGCTTGTTTCACACCTCAAACCAGAGTTACGAATTTTATACGTCCTTCGTATTATTTAATATATGTTTAGGTAGTACAAGGCTTGTCCCCAGTTGTCTTCAAAAACATTGAGATCCCATTAAGAGTTTTAAAAGTGAAGACTATATTTTTTTATGGTCCCTCGTTCACTATCAAGTTTTGAAGTTTTGTCTCCCTGCTGCAACAGTTACTGCTTCTCAACTTGCCAACGAACTCGGGGAAGGGAGAGAATCAGTTTGGTATGCAGACTTCAAAGACTAAGAAGCCAGACCATGAGATTTAAGGACATTACACCAGATTGAGAGATGCTTTCTCATAATAATATTTTTCCACTTGATTGGGCAACGTGACCTGACCCAGAGGAAGGAAGGAAAATTCAATGCTGGTTTTGTTTTCATAATGTGCCAAATTGGTGTGCTCAATAAAATTTTGCATTAAGAGATTGGAATGTCTTGAACAGGGGTCTTCAAACTTGGCCCTTTTATGACTTGTGGACTTCAGCTCCCAGAATTCCTCAGCCAGCGTGCCTGGCTAAGGAATTCTTGGAGTTGAAGTCCACAAGTCATAAAAGGGCCAAGTTTGAAGACCCCTGGTCTTGAAGATGTTTGCTTGGTTGAGTTCATCAGTCGGAACCATGACATTCGCATTTAGTAAGACCCTAGAGACCCCCCTCCCCCAAATTTATTTAGTAATACGATTAAAGAGAATTGCAAGAGTCCTTCATTGGAAACATTACAGTTTAACTATAACTTTACTTTTCTTCCTTTTAGACTCATTCTATCGTAACTCCAGTTGTGGCCCTCATAGAAGACACTTTTCAAGCCCAACCAAATCCAGAAGAAGTCAGTCATGTGTTCTCAGTGCCGCTGGAATATTTTATACATCCTGGGAAACACAGTTTTCTGCCTTTAAAAAGAAATGGACACGCTCCATATTTGATGCATTTCTTTGAATACAATGACCCAGAGCATCAGGCGTCATTTACCGTGTGGGGATTGACTGCACATTTTGCAGTCTTTGTTGCTGTTGCCATTTATGAGGAGAAACCGACATTTGAAGTTGAATTTGACCTGGATAATTTGAATTCTTCAGCTGAGAAACACTTGATGATGCGCTACGATAATATAAAAAGCAAACTTTGACAGGTAATAATTGTTTCCTCCCCCCCCCCCAAATGTAATTGAAACTCTTGAAGCTATGATCCATGTTTTAGCTGAAATAATTTGGTTACTTTATATTTGCAAATCATGTTGGGGTATATAATTGCAGGAATCTGTTTTTGCCACATTCAATTGAGATATGAAGGTGTTTAATTAAAATTTAAAAATGTGCCATTTTGGGCCACAGTCTCTAATGCTTGGCATTTTATCTTTTTCCACCCCCCCTCTAAATCAAAATGCCAATAGAGCTCATATGGTGGGACTGCGAAGGTAAATAAATCTTTATAGGAGTACACTACCAGTGCAAAAGGTTTTGCACCTTTTATACACATAAAATTCATTTTTACTAGATTTAAAAATATTCTCCCGTGTCTTCATATACCAGGGGTGTCAAGCTCGCCACGTCACATGACGTGTCGCGACATATCACGACTTTTTCCCCGTTGCCGGAGCTGGGGTGGGTGTGGTTTCGGCATGACGCATCCGGCCCTGCCATATACAGATACCTACTAGCCTCTTTAATAGGTCACTATTAAAGGGTAATATTTGAGAAACAGAACTGTCATATGCACAATCTGAGTTGCGCTTCAGGTGGAAGCCTCTTGGTGGAGTTTATCTACTTACTATCTACAGCATCTGTACTTTTAACCACCGTTTTTTTGGTTTGTAAATGATGTCATTACTGTTACTATTCAATGTACCTTTCTTGAAATTAATTATAAAAAAAAAATATTAAAATGCTTTCTAATGATGTTACCTCCTACTGCGTAGGTAAGAGAGAGAAAAAATAAACTTCACCATTTCTCTAGGGATTTGGCTTGGTCAGTGATGCTGCAGAATTAATCATTCACATGGATCAGATATTTTAGGTATGTATGGCCTTGTATTAAGGCACTCTTTCACTTAAAGCATTGCAGTCGTAATTGTTCTATATTTTTTTCATAGCGATATTGGAATCATCGTTGATGGATGTGGTATGTTCATCGCAAGAGACTCTATTACACAACTCAAGATTTCTGCCAATTAAGTCCAGAAGCAGGGGCTTCTTGGTTATGCCTCTGATATTACAGAACTGCCAGTTTTAAAAGCTCCAGGAAGTAATCAGTAGTGTAGCTACTTATATGGATTTTATTTAGAACCCTTAGCATGTGGTTGTTTTTCTTCTAGCCCTTTTTTCGATCTAGAAGTTTAGCTTCTTTTCCTTCAGGAATGGAACATCTAAAACTTTACATCCATTCAAGGTTGAAAGGCAGCTGCTTCTGAAATTTTAGGACTGGCACATGAATGGTGGCGAAGTTTTAAAATTCTGGCTTTTTTCGTAGCCTTGTTTGGCCACTAAATAAATTTGAAGCACCTTCCTTTCTAGTTTTCTTAAGGCTGGGGACAAGAGAGAATTTTGCAGCAGGTTAGAGTAAGTGCTTCTCAACAATATAGGTGAGGGAACACCAGAACGTTCAGCCTATCTACTAGTAGTCTATCTTAAGCATCGTTTACAGCAGTGGTTCTCAACCTATGGGTCGCGACCCCATTTGGGGTCGATCGACCATTTCACGGGGGTCGCCAAGCAAGGCTGTCCGCCATTTTTTTTGTCCGCCATTTTTTTCCCCTTTTCCGGCGGGTGCCTTACCTCCCTTGGGCTGGGCCAGCTGGTGGTCGGCCTGCTCCGTCTCTGCCGCTTGCCAGCTATGCCTCGGCCGGCGCAGGGGGCGGAACCACGCATGCGCGGCGCTCCCGGGCAGGGAAAGTCCTCGACTTACGACCGGTTGGGTAGTCCTCGACTTACGACCGGTTTAGTCCTCGACTTACGACCGGTTTAGTCCTCGACTTACGACCGGTTTAGCCCTCGACTTACAACCGGTTGGGGTCGCGGCATTAAAAAGGTTGAGAACCACTGGTTTATAGGCTTACCCTTGTTAGGAAGCGTCTGCCAGTAAGATTTAAACAATTTCTGGTTGTAAAAGCACAATTTATCCTAGCGTTCTGATAACTTCCCCAGAACTTAGGAGATGGACAGGGTCTCAAATCCAACCTTTTTTAAAAAAAAGAATACTGTTGCAAATGTACACCAGCCTCCTTAATTCCACCTGCACCCTTTCTCCATACTATTTTTCCAATTACAGGTTATGCCAAGAGCCTAAAAAAATGAAGCAGGGGAGGGATAATCCCTCCAGGAGTTGAGAAAATATGTGAGGGAAAAGAGAGTGTTTTTTGGTTGAAAACTGAATTGTAAAAAAGAAGCAAACATCCAGGTAGGGGCTGGAGAGAGCGAGGGAAGGTTCATATAGGAACCTGCCGACGGAGTAGGATTTAACTATTGTAATGACTTCTCTTGTCTACCAAAGTTGTTGCCATAGTAATTTGGTTTGGCTGAGGAATTAAAATGTAAAACCTCTACCCATGGAGCAAGTCACACTGTTTGGAAAGGTTTGGTTTTGCTTTTCCTGGAAGAGGAGGGGAAAAAAAAATAACACCAGGCACTGTATTGTTCTCATTTTGTGAGAAATAACAGGAACATCTTGGCATTAAAAAAAAAAGGGGGGGACTTTGAATTAGGTAAGAGGCATCGCTTTTTGACCTCGGGCTTTTCATAAATATGATAGCAGCATTCGGATATGCACTTCTTCCAGGTTCCCTGATGTAAAGTGTGAATTGACAAGATGTTTCTATCCCCCACCGTATCGCATGAATTTCAAATTATTAATATAAATTAGATCCCAGGGAAGCAGCAGAATTGATTCTTTCTTCTCCAACTCTCTAGTCTAAGAGCACGGTCTGAGGCTAGTAAATCTGGGCTGCAAAATTATGTGTCCAGCAGCCTTCTTGGTTAGTACAGCCCACACTAGGTAGCTGGAACAAAGTCAAATAGCCAGTCCTGGGAGTGGGGGGGGGGGGGGCTTGAGGAATACAAATGGAGCTATGAAAAAGCAAGCAGCATGTTGGAGGAACCATAAGGTCTACAGGCGCATTATATAAAAATACGTTTAAAAAGAACTTAATGAGGCATAATTGTTCAATGAATACATTTTATAGCGTGAAATGTTGACTGTCACCTAGGAAAGAAATGGATCATTATGTCAGAGGTGTAAATGCAACTGGTTTACTGAATGCCATTCTGCTAAGGCTAAAGGTGACCTCCCAAAGCCTTAGATGCAAACTTCAGACACCTGAGCTATGGTATCTTGTTCATTCAACTGTGTTTAAAACAACACAGGTTTATTGTGATTTCTGAATCCAGCAAGACAGGTGAGTCTTTAGATTACCTTGATGGGAATATGTTCTCCAATCTAGGTTTTTGGTTTTTTTTAATTTGCAACATTTATTAAAACAATCCTGGTCTTAACCATGCTGGATCGCACACAGCAATTAAAACCAAACCAAATAATAATAAAATTAATAGTCAATTAGAGATGCAAGAAAAAATGTATGAAGCAATCTCCATCCAATTGAAAAAGGATGGTTCTTTATCAATTCAAGGATGGAAGATGCTTTCTGAGACTCCGTGTGTAGTATATTTCATCATATAAGGGCCACCAAAGAAGGTGTGTCACAAAACCAGTTGTGGAACCACAAACAGCACCTGAAATGGTGCCTGTTAATCACTAGTTTAGAAATACGTGCTTGTGGGTTGAAATGTTGCCACTGTCTCTTTGGAATGTAGGATGTCTCTTCCTTGCTGTTTCTAATTATTATACAGTTTCTAATGTACATAAAAATAGAAGATGTGTCCTGCTGGGCAGATCAAACATCCACCTGTCTAATCCAGCATCCTGTTTTTCACAGTTGGCCAATGCAGATGTTTCCAGGAAGCCCACAAGTGGAGCCTGATGAAGACATTGAACCTTGTTCCCCCTCAACTAACTTTCAGTGGCTTCCTAATTCAGAAGATAAAACTATTGTGGCAAGCAGAAGTTGGTTATTTTCATTTTGTTTCTGTCTAATAAAAATAGTAAAAATTGTAAGAAAACTAAAACAATGTGCTTGGAAATATAGATTAGGAATATGCAGAACCTACTGTTCTAGGCCTCTGTCATATTTTTCTGTGGGTGCTCCATCACTGGAGGTTTTCATGAAGAGATTAGATAGCCATTTGTCCAGAATGGTATAGGGCAAGGGTCTTCAAACTTGGACCTTTTATGACTTGTGGACTTACAACACCCAGAATTCCTCAGCCAGGCACGCTGGCTGAGGAATTCTGGGCGTTGAAGTCCACAAGTCATAAAAGGGCCAAGTTTGAAGACCCCTGGGTTAGGGTCTTCTGCTTGAGCAAGGAGCCTTATTTTTCTATGTTCTATGTTCCTCTCCTCCAAGGAATTCTGGAGATTTTCTGGAAGTCAATCTTCTGATTTAGTGTTCTGAAAGAAAAAAGGACTTATTTTAGAACTGGACCAAGATTACAAGAATACGTACCACCCTTGATGCAAAAGACTATTATCAGCAATGGCCAGATTGATGTGGACCAGAGGAAACATAGTTTGATGTGTTTTGCATGCATTTAATTTTCTTTTGGCTTGGGTTTGCTTCTACCTGACTAATGTTAGGATTAGCTTTGGGATGTGCCTGTGCACAAATTAATGAACTTGGCTGGAGTTGAAATAAGATTGAAGTGACAGTGCGTTGTGTTTCTCCTCTTCGAATGCTTGGAGCATCGCCTTGTAAAAAAATTATTTCTTGAGCGGGTTCTTCCGATCTGTCACGCATAAAAGTGTGCGGGGTCTCTAGTGCTACCTGAGCTTGCTTGTTTCCTTGCAAATGTTTCATTATCCAACCAGGTAACATCATCAGTGCTCACGATGTTACCTGTTGATGCTACCTGGCTGGATAATGAAACTTCTGAAAGAAAGCAAACAACAGTTTGAACTCTACAGTTCAACCCTGAGCTATAAATATTCTCTTCTATTGGTGCACGTGTGTGTCCCCTGCCTCCAGCTGGTTATTAAGTCATGTTAAACCCTTCTATTCTAAAAAAAAGGTTAGAGTTAATTGGGTGGGAGGGACTTCGAAGGACAATTATATGTTCCTAAGACTACGAATGTTTTTTTTTAAATTTATTTTCTAAGTTGTCCCATCTCACTTCTGTAACAGTTTGCAAGTCCTGTTTTTATTCTTGGAATGGAAAGCGATAGGGGCCCATAACCTAATGAAGGGCCACAGGAGACTTCTGGGGCACATTATTGAAAGATGAGAGGGGGACACCTTTTTCAGACAGATAAAAGTTTTAATGGTATGAGTTTGGTGCAGTATAAAAGTGCAGGATAGCGTTATACGTTTCTGGAGGGTCCTGGGCCAATTGTGATCCCGTCAGCCCACCCTTCTTCCAGAACATGGGAAATTGAAAAGGCAGACTTTAGTAATTTCCGATAATACCCCGGAGTAAAACAGTATGTTGGGATTTTAAAATGACAGAATGGCAACTTAAACTGCCAAGTTCTCTCAACATCAATTCTGCATTGTTAGTTTTAAGGCACTGGGTTAATACATTATTATTTGCTTAACATATTTTTATTTGTTTAATGCATTTTATTTGCTTGAGCAGGTAAGGAACAGTTATAGACTCTTCTCTCTGTGCTTTGAATTATTTACACTTTGCTGCTTTTAATGTTTGACCCTCCTTTTTTTTTTTTTGCCTGCTACGTTATAAATGAAATCGTGTTCCAGTGACCTTCATTGCATGTTGCTATGGAGCTGCGTTTTGTTTTGAATAACATTTTAAAAATAGAATGTGTAATTCAATAATAATATTTTCTACTTATTTCTTCCATTTTTATTATCACTCAGCAAGTGATTCTGGGTCTCTATACAGAGAGCTGAAAGCAACACAGTGCAAGTCAGATGATGATGATGATGATGATGATGATGATGAAATGTAAAATATGTAAATTATCCACTAGTAAAGCATTGTATTGCCTGCAGATATGGATTTGAAATTATATAGGACATGTCAATTCTTTTGCACAAAAAAAAAGAGATTTTCACTGTAAAATTGCTATTAACATTCTCTCCATTACCTCAAAAAATTATTCACATGCTTCTTTTTGTTTTTTTAGGAACCAAGGAATTCAAAATTAATTAGTACAGATTGCCCGTCTTTGCTTATTGCAATAAGCCGCATTTTAACTAAGATTGAGATCTCTGTCCTGATTCGTTGATAGCATTAAGCTACATTGACACGGTGCAGGAATATCAAAAACGAATAATACACATAGAATAATATAGAAACAATACCACTCCGAGGGAGTAGGCTTTGAATCACAGTTTGTACAACAAACCCTAGTAGTCTAGTTTGCACGTAAGGCTCAACACTGGCGTCATATGCCTTAATAAGCCAAAAGGTAGCTTAATTGCAATTCTGTGTTTTTAAGGCACTGAAAAAGACAAGCTGATCAGATTTAGCTTTCAAAGGGTAACTTTTCTGTCTTTAGTCGCTGTAATATTAAACAACACTAACATAAACCCTAAGAAAATTAAATATATATATTAAAGGGAAAAAAACATATATATCAGAGAGGGGAAAGTAGTCTCAGCTGAACCTTAAAGACTTGGGAAATAGTGATATTGGAAGTAATCAACCCCACTTTCTTTCAGCATTATATTAAATGAAAGCACTAGGCTGAGGCTTATTACCACTGTTTGGAGAAAGTGGTACAGGCTGTTGTTGTTTTTTTCATGCTCATCTTATGCTAACCTTTTGGACTCGGGTAGAAGAATGTGTGCAGGATTCTAGTCTGGTTGTGGACTCAGTGATATTTCCTTCCTGATGTTGCCATGACAACTACATCTCTTAAACCATCACATTGTACAGCATGCTCCTTTAGCAAGCAAGGAACAGAGACATTGGGTGCCCACCAATCTTTAATGTTGGGGAAGAACGCAGGCAGTGGATTTGATTACTATTGTAGTGTTTTCCACAAAGATTCCTGCGTGTTAGTGTTTTCCATAATGATTCTGAACTTGGTGTAGAGGTACTTAAGGACCGAGTTAAGCATTTTAAAGCAAATTTACTTTAAACAAGGGACAGCTTTATTCCCATCTGCAAAAGAGACTTTCCAAATCAGCTTCAAAAAGGGGGATAATTACTGGGGGGGGGAGGCTTTTTTTTTTGGAAGCCATAGCATTTAACTTATGGCATGACTAAAAATTTTATTCTCTGCCATTTGTCAGATGAGCGTTGGGGAACGAATACCCTACACAACCATGTAGTGAATGAGGTCAAAACATAATTGGTGATTTTGCAAACTGTTACTGACCACATTATTTTTTTCCCTCTAAAACACCATCCACTTAATTTTATTTCATGTGGAAACTGTTGCAAAAGTTCCATCTTCTATGTTCCGAATTAATTATTGAAGAAGCCTGACAGACTCCCAGATTTTTTTATTTTTTGCATTTCATAACATTTGGATAGACTTTTATCTTTAGGGAATATATGCGGATACAAATGGATATGCATTACCAGCAACAAAAACTTCAGCTGGGCATGTAGTCCAGGAACTGAGCTTTGAGGCTTTCTTGTCTGTAATCCAAATATGCACGCATTAATGTTACAGAACTAGGTAGCACGCATTTCATACTACAGTTGGCAGAGTTTATTGTAGATCGTTGAGATAGAAAGAACAAAGGAAGAACTTCATTACCAGCCAGGAAATGCTGATAACTGAGAGCAGACGTGCAAGAAATAAGTTATTTTGCAGTAGACGCTAAAGCAGGGGGTCTTCAAACTTGGCCCTTTTATGACTTGTGGACTTCAACTCCCAGAATTCCTCAGCCAGAACTGTGTATTTTATGCATGCTACAGGTAGAGGTGCGTGGTGCATCAGGTCATGTCATCACAAATGCAAGTGATGACATCTGCTCAGTTGGGCTGATTGCTGACCAGGAGGTCTTTTGGTCTTTCGGTTTCCTTCTTAGGTTTTTGATTGTCTGTTTTGAATGGTATGTAGATGTTGTTTACCTCTGTGTCTATTGATGGCTGACTTTTTCTGAGTGCCAAGCTTCCAGGGATTCTGTAGCACTTTTGAACTTGGCTTGGTCTAGAAGTTCACACTCTCCCAGTTAAACCTATGGTGAAGTTTGTCCATGTATTGTGCATTTAAGGAGTTCTTATCTTCCGACTGCTAGTTGGTGTTGGATGTGTGGAGCACATAGATTCAATAAATAAAGGCTCCTTGTAAATATCCTGTTTCCCCCCCAGTTATCTCCTAGAACTGAGCTATGGGTTTGTTCATGGAATCCTGCTGTTCTTTAATACAGTGAAGGACTCTTATTTCATTCCAGTGATAAAATAAGAGTCAGTTACTTGACATGATGGACCTTTCGCTACACTGAACTGAGTGTAGCACTGTCTTGGTAGAAAAAAATGGCTATGCTCATATTGTGCCTTAAGCCATAATGTACATTTTTTGGTCTTGGAATTATATCAACCAGTCACTGAATGTTTAAAACTATGTTTTAGGGCTCAATGTAATTTGTGAAAATAGCTTTACCTTATATCCCACTTACAATAAAACATAAGAAGATAGAATGATTTGGGGAATGTTCTCCCAACTTGACATATATGTTTTAAGTTCTTCTTATCTAAGCTTATAAGAAGTGGCCTAGAGAATATTGATAATTAGACCTAAGTTTAAAAGGATGCAATTCATCAACACCTTTAGCCAGAAGCAGAAGAACCCAAAGTGGTGAACTCAAATTATGAGTTTGAGGCAAGGGGTGACCTTTTTAAAAAAGAAAAAAGAAAAAAATATGATAGCCCTTCTTTTGATATTTTTTACGATGCTATTTTGATGATTCGTCCAGTAGTGAAAGTCAATATCAATATCAATCAGAATAGAGCTAGAAGGGACCTTGGTGGTCTTCTAGTCCAGCCACCTGCTCAAGCAGGAGATCCTATACTCTTTCAAAAGGCTGTCTGGTCTTTTCTTAAAAACTTCCAGCAATGAAGCACCTACAGCTTCTAAAGGGATGCTGTTCCACTGGTTAATTGTCCTCACTGTTAGGAAGTCCTCACTGTTGGTTCTAAGTTGCTTGATAGTCTAGGTCTCTTGATATTCCGATGGGCAAAGAATGTTTTATTTGAAACTATCAAGTGGAATTGTCTGAATTAAATGTCCTTTACCTTGGTGATATTTTTTTTATTCTTTCCCAGCTGAAAAAAGTACATTGCCTATTTAACTACTCTTGGTTAGTGTAATGAACTCCACTTTAAAGTTTTATCATCCGTAGTCTTAGAAAGTACCGTAATATTCCATAGGACTTTAAGTCCAGACTTGTATATTTGGTAAAGTATAAATTGAGATTTAATGATTCTTTATTGTACTGTTTAT